TTCCCGGTGGTGAAGATTGCGAGAGACGCCTATGCCTGAACGTCAACGTGACCCAGTCCACCCAACCCCCATCTCAACTGCAAGATAAAAGTATCACACTCACGGCTGACTGAGGCGTTCAGTCATGGCAACACGAGAGTCGTTGTCGACTGGTGACACAGGGGTCAGACAGCCCCGTCAATCCTGTCGAATGGAGTGAAAAGGGGTGTGGATGGTCTTCAACAAGGGAAAGTATGTCCCCAAGGCGACGGGTAGCGCACACCCTGAAGATGCCGACGCGGCCGGATCCCGTCCATGCCGCCACCAAACAGACGACAGCCCAACTCCGCGGTAGTCCTATATTACGACTTCCCAGCGTTCTCCGGGACTCACCGAGGCATTACAGTCGGATGGCATTGCGCCGAAGTGGGTTCTTGTGCGAGGGCGAGGCACTGAAGGGGTGTAGACGTGGGGGCGGCGGTCCAGAAGAGAGTGGGAGGGAGGGCGTCCGAGAAGTGCTTTAAATGACACCTCGATCGATAGGTGGGACTACTGCTCTTGCATACGCTGTGCCAGAGACCAGGAACTGAGTCAGGCATGCGCGCATCGGGCCAGATTTACACCCCTTTCTTCTGGGAGACCTATATTCTATCCGACCCCCTATCTACTCCCCCCCCGGGGACGAGACCCCCGCTCCCCTACCGCCTTTCCACCCGATGCATGCGAAAGTAAAACACTTTCTAGACCTTTAAATGCTTGCTCGGGTTGTGAGGCCTCTTCGTTGTGCCTGGTCTATTCTGAACGCTTTGTGGGACCTTACCATGTTCCGTCAGGATGCCAACGCGCCATGCATGGCAGATTGCTGTGTCAATACATTCAGGTTACAGTAGAGAATCAGAGGTACGCTCCAGGAGTCCCAGATCGCGCAGGATCTGAATGAGTAAAAACCCGACGACAGATCCCCGAACCTCCCAGTCCCCCCCCAAAAAAGACTGTTTATTTACATCTGAAAATCTTCAATCAATTGGAAACAATGCGCGGTTTGCCCCCGCTACTCGAACCCTCGGAGGGCACCTTCACCACGGCCGACATAGTAGTTGCCGTCAAGGCCACAGTCCACGGTACCTACTACAATAAGCCCGTAACGCAGGCAACCATTCCTACGGAGCGCGTGTGTGACTTCCTGCACGAGGAGGGCCGCATGTTCAATCCCCCCCCCCCCTCCTCAAGCCCCCTTTCCCAGAGGGGCCCAACCCACAAGACAGCCAGCACAGAGGTGCGCCTGTCGCGGGTTGCGTGGATCGTCCCCACCTTGTGACGGGGCCTGGCCTGGCACAGGGACGAGAAGCCGTTTCGAAAGCTTCGGCATCAAGCCTACGTCGCCAGGGAGCGGGCCATCAACCGGCTGGCGGAGCAGTTCCGCGCCCCCCTCTGGAATGACCACTATCGTGGGCATGGGCAACTGGTGGGCATGGGCAACTGGTGGGCCCAGGACCGGGGGGGCATAATGCGGGGGGCCCCCCCGGGGCCCTGGATACGCTTCTTACGGCGGGTGTGCAGGGTGGTGGTGGTCGACGAGCACAGGTCATCAAAGCTGTGCTGCGCCTGTCACGCCACCCTGCACGCCCACCAGTACGTGCGGGTCCGCAACGGTGAGGAGAAGCTGATGGACGTGTGGGACACCAAGCGGTGCACGAACAAGGCCTGCAAGGTCCATGTCGTCAACCGCGACGTCAACGGAGCGGCCAACATACTGATGTTGACCAAGTGCTTTTTTGCTGGGGCACTTCGTCCCACTGCATTTGGTGGCCCCCTGCTTCCCCTTCCTTTCTTCCCACCCCCCCCACCCCCCCGGTTCGCCATCAGAGGCAACCAACTGCGCCAGCCTGATCTTCGGAAGTAGCTGTGCAACCAG